GGTCATTGTATTAAAATTATTTTAAAGTTATATTAGAATGTTAGAAAGGAACGTCTTTTAGTAGCAAATATACTTCAAATTGATAACTAATATTTTGTTTCGATAATATAGTATTTGAATATTCACATACTCGAGAAATGTAGATGCACATAAGGAAGATATTACTACATTACATTTATCTTAATAACCCGGACAAAATGAGATATAGTACTGGACGCAAAGCAAAAACGTTTGAACATTCACGTGCTTTCTTCCAGCCATTCATAAATGTTATTTTGTCATTTTCTATGAGGATGCGTTACTACATTTAAATAACGTAATCGTTTATACAAAACGGTACTTTTAAATATTGCCGAAGATTAAATATTAAATATTCAATATTCTATCATATTCGAAAAGACAGAAATTTAGTGTGTTTATATATGAACTGTTTTGTGTTTCAGAAACAATAAAATAAGATGCAAATTATTTTCGCAACATTCTATGTAGATATAATAAATAGAATATACATGTACTAAATAGAGCTATCTGCTTATTGCTGCAATTAATCTTCAAATTAATATATGGGTGCTAATTTGTCTTACCGAACAAAAATAATGTAATGAAAGCTCCGATATTACACAACTGATGGAAAGAGTTATTGGTTCCTGATATATCAACACGGTCATTAGATTTTTTTGCATATGTAATGTCTGTTTATACCACATCGTGTCATACACACTTCGTGAAACATGTATGCTCTAAAAAATATAAAAAATTAGTCATGTTCATAGAAATACTAGTTACAAGAAAGGAGCTAGTAATATGAAATGGGACATTATCTCTGAAACATTATCTATTATTATTTATATTGTTAATATCTTTATCTGCAACTGCGAACTAACAATTGCAAAAATAGTTTCAACACTTCGAAATTTTTTCAAAAATCAAAACTTTTTGGCTTTCCTCATTTGCAATATAGAATGTGATTTTCGAATACCAATAAATTAATCATTATGTCTAATAATTAATCTCCGTTATGCTGTAAAGAAATTGAAATTTGATGGGAAAAGGTATAAATATAAAACTTTTCTCCTGAGTACCATAAATATTGTTCACATTTAAATATTTTTCTAATTTAATACCTTTCATTTTTACTTCCACAGTTTCATTTAAGAATAACAATTGATTATTGATTATTGATTACAGAAATCAGAGTGGTATGAAAATTATACATTTCTGCGAAGGGTAAAAAATTTTTGATGTCCAAGTATGAAAGAAAATATATTTCTTCTTTCAGAAGTAAAAATTCCGTAAAACTACCTCTCTATAAAAAATAAAATTTGATTTACCATATCTTTCACGTAATCGGCTGGCCACGTATATATATAAATTTCTATCAGTAAAGAGATAGATGAAAATAAGAGCTGAATTCTCAGTATTAATGGTGTATCCTATACATATGTTTTGTGGTTAGTTCATTATGCTTTGTGCGTAAAAAATATAAGTTTCACTTACCGTAAGAAAAATAATGCCACATAAAGTAAGAGCAAACGTGCTCATTCCTACAACATAAAGTACAATGAAACGAAAAATCCTCATCACTTCTTTTGCGTACCTGAAAAAAAATACCGTTTCATCATACCGTTTCATCATACGTCATAAAGTAAAATATCATCTTTACCTTCTTAAATATAATTGTTTTTTAATGCAAACTATTAACATACTAACATTTGTAGTTTGTTTCATTTCTATAGCTAAACATTCCAATCTTGCAGCCGTGAACCAAAGTAGGAGCGCACCAAATATGTTTAGACATCCATGAGCAGAGCAACGATAGGCGACAAAAGCCTCGTGCATATATATGATAACATACATTGGTGTATAATTAACGCGAAACGGATATTCCGTTTCAAATGGGAAAGAAACCGGCAAAAATGCAGGTCCTAGCACAAAACTAGAAAGGCACAGGTACATACATACCATAGAACTTCCAAATAATGTGCTGCATTTTGCGATAAACTTGTAATAAATTTCCTTTTCGTATTGTTGCGCCTCCTTGACACAATGTAACATCTCCTCAACGACGTACTGTAACTCGTGGTTAAAGCATATATTTCCTTACAACTAATGCAAAGTAAAGGTGAATAAAAAACTCACTTGTAGAGAATCGTGGTGGATCATACAAATAATAGTCTGAATCACTTGTTGACTTATGCCTAAGGATATCAAGCTGCATTTACAAACAACCAATATATTATCTGAATGCAGATAAATAGAATATATCACAGCCAGGAGCACCAGGCAAGCGCTAGTACTGCTACTGATTTGCAAAATTTTATAAAAAGCAATTCGTGTTCGACTGCTATTACTAGGAAGTGGCCAACAGAAGGACAAAGCTACGCTAAACCAAGTAATATCGATTGCTTTCTCCAGTGTCAGTTGCTTCATAATTTTGAGAATAACTTTCAGAAATTGTTTGTTGT